ATTTAATCAATTTATTACATATTTTAATTAATAATTTCTTGGCGAATTATTGTAGAATTAAAAAATAAATATTCAATGGCATGAATGTTAAAATATTCTTAATAGAAAAAGAATAATCTATTATATAATTTATTATATAAATTTCTTTCTAAATGTAAGTTCCTCTAAATAGAAGTTAAGTCTTTCTATTAAATGGATAGCAAATTGAAATATTAGAAAAACAAAACGAAAGAGGAAACATCAAAACTTATTCTGGTATTTAGAGACCTTTAGAATAAAATGTTTTAATAATTGAAATCAATTAAAATGTTTCACTATAAGGTCAACTATTGGTTTACGATTAAGTCCATTATGAATATTATAAGGAAAAGTTGTAATTTACTTTTTTAAAGACAAAAAATGACTGTCTCATCTAAATGTGTGGAAATTAATTAATTTTTTGGCAAGAATATTTTCAAAAATAAGAGTTCAAAACCCTACCACTTTAATAGAAACATAAAATATTTTACAAGGTATTTATCAATGTAGAAAACTAGTATTGCAGAAAAAATATCAAATAGAAAACCTATGATCTGTATTTATTTTTATAGGATCATTTAGGAAATATCTAAATATAAGGAATTGACTTTAGATTATTTAGAGATAATGATATAATTGGTCAAATAGATGTTTAGATTAATCAAGGCCAGCTTAACATATAATAAATTAGAAATTTTGGAAACTTATATTTTCAAATATTGACTGATATTGATTCTCGTTGTAAAATTATTGTGATAATTTATAGTATTTAATCAAATTACAGAAGACTAAAGATTTCATATTATAACACACTCTCCACTTTATGAATGGCAAAAATAAGAGATTATTAATTTTCTTAATCCTGCATTTGCTTAAGAGCTCACAATAGAGCAGTTCTTAAAATTACTGAAGAAAGATCAATTTTATATTGGTACTCAACAATCCAATTAATAAACAGAAATTATATGTTAATTTTCTCTTTAGTAATAATAGATTTAAAGTTAATTGAATTATCTTTATCATCATACAAAGGATATGGAACATAATTAAGATATATATTAAGAGTATCAATATTTAAATAAAATAAATACTGAATTTCAAAAATCCATCTAAGATAATTTCAGTTTTGGTATTGTTTCAAGTAAAGTCGAAGAGTTATTTAACTAATAATTAGTTGAATTAAATAGTTTGTCTTATTAATTTTATTTTAATTTAAGACAAGTCCTCTGCGATAACTTGATGATGAAGCATAAAACACTAGAATTGAAATTGAATACACTTTATTAGCCAACCTAATATATAGGGTAATATGGATCATTATAAATCAATTTGTATTCAAAATTATAACATTAGAATAAGATGCTAATATAAAATATTGAGTAATAAATTCATGTTAAACTTTCTAATGATGTTCCCTCTATTTTATAATTTAACTAATCCCTTAATAAACAAAATTAGGTTAGCTAAAATATTAAGGCTGAGTATTAGGCCTATAAGAAATCATTGATAACTGAGTTGATGAAAATCAAAGCATTATTAGAATAAAATGTAAAAAGAATTTAACAATAATTCTAACATATTAATGTTAAATATTTGATGATGATTGCAAATTAGGATGAATCTGATTAAGCCTCATTCGTAACAATTATTTTAGAGAAACAGTAATTTCTCAAAAACATAATTCAGAATTTAATTAATGAGATTCCTCATTTAATTTTTAAATAAAATAGAAAGTCGATTGATATATTAAGTACAATTTAATCATATCAGGAATTGGAATGTAGAATTGGATCTCTGAATGAAATTCTAGAAGAAAAAAATTATGAACTACACTAATTTGAATAGGTTGATAATATGTAAAGATCAAATCTAGCAAATAAATTATGCTTGAAGAATTAGTAATAGTTGAAAGAATTAAAATAAGAATTTACATCTTAATTTTAATCCATAAAATAATTCTTGATATAGCTCTCAAAGAATAAGAATTTTATTAGTGATTAAGAGTTAATACAAATAGAAAATGGAATAGAATTGATAGTCTAGAAACAATTTTACAGATTTTCTATAATAGAAGAACTTCTATAATAAATTTAGACTAATAAGTAATACTGTAAATCAATATCTAAGAAGATAGAAGAAGAAAAAAACATCATATAGATTTCAATTAATTAATAATTGAAAGTGTTTGATGAGCTATTTAAAAACAATATTGATAAGCGAGACGATTTGTAGGAATAAGAGATATTAGACTTCGAGCTTACTATTTTAATAAAATAATATCATAATGTGAAATGTGAACTGGAATTTGAAATATTAAATATTCAACAAAAATTTAGTAGTTTGGAAACTGCATTTTAAGAATAATTATTACTTTCAAGGAAGATTGAAATTTTATGTTAAGAGAATTAGGAATTAATCATTCAATTTAAGTATAGGAATCATAAAATAAAAAATATTGTAAGGAAGATTAATGATAAGTTTGAAGAAAACATAAAACGATTCTTATAATTTTTCGGTTTTTTCAAAGAAGTGAAGGCTAGTATTGATTTATAGTAAGATTAAGAGAGATTGTTTTTGTAAACTTAATAACAATTAATTTTAATCTAAAAGCAGTTTGAAATAATTTAAACTCAGAATATAAATAAGAGCAGAGATGAAAAGAGAATGGAATACTAAAAATTAAGAAGCCAATTAGAGCTGATTTAGTTGGATGTGATATTGAAAGGAAAATAAATGGGTTTTAATTCATAAGGATATTAACAATAATTAACGTTAATTATAATGAGTAAATTTTATCATATGAGCAGATTTCATTAGAGATTGATGGAAGCTAAAGCATTGAATTCTAATTAAATCTCTACAGAGGATTTAGAACTTTTGAATTTATAAAAGGATGATTATGAATACATAGAGAGCCAAGTAGATTTTTTTAGGAAAGTAGTGATTGAGAACGGGGCTTAAGCATTTTAGATAGAGAATTTATAAGAAAAATTAGAAGATTTGGAAAAGTAAATTGAATTAAAAAGAAATTACTTATTATCAGTAATTGAATGCACAATACAGTAGCAGCTTCAAAAATCAATCAAATAAGCAGAAACGATTGATAAAATATCTAAATTTACTAATTACTTAGAATTTTCTTAGTTTTTGCCAATTTAATTGTTAAACTTAGTTAGATGAACAAAATGATATATATGATACAGCATTTATTTGCAATTTACAATTGTTTCAAATTTATTTCCTAATTTCACTTTCTTCTTTTAAAAGTTCTAAACCTCTTTGGGTGACTCTTAAAGAAATGATGATTTTAGGTTCAACACGATCTTCTATAGTCTAAGAGGGTGTATCAATTTTTGTAATAGTAGCAATTCCTCAATAATAAATCAAATACTTTATACCTGTTCTTTTAAGAGTACAAGCACATTTAACAGCTATATTTATAGCACTACCAAGAGCATGAATATCAACTTATTAAAAGTATAGCAAAAAATGTTTAGAAATAAATAAGGCTACATATGGTTCAGCAGTTTTCGTTAATAGAAATGTAAATTTTTCAGAACCGGGGGGGATCAATTTGTTTTGATTCATATTTGGTGGACATTATTACATAATTTTATTTAATTAGTGAATGATTTATTCAGCACAATAATTCATTATATTTATTTTTCTTCTTAGTTGAGCATTTCAATTTCTGGCTCAACATGCTTGACTTCTTGTCTTCTATATCGTCCAATATTTGATATTTCATATTATCCATATACACAAGCAATGAGAGCAAAGATTAAGCATGGTATTATTGATGCTATCCAAGTAGCAGCCCATTCAACAGTGTCATCATATTCACCAAATTCAGTATCTCCATAAAATAATATTTTCTATATTTAATAATATAATTTACTCCTTTATTGTATTAAATAACAGTATTTTACAACTCGGCTCTTTTCATTTTATTGTATTGATTCTATTGCAATAACTAATCTAATTAGTCCTATTGAAAGAATAATGGGTTTGTGGACACATACCAATAGGCTGTTGAACAAGGTCTACAATTATTAATTATCTATACGGGATGTTAATTGGGGCTTTGTAGGTGATATAAGAAGATATGTCTGATTTTACAGTTCCTAAGATATTTTATTTGAAGTTGAAATCACTTATTGTATCAGTATTTATGTTGAATTACCCTCTGAATTTTAACTGTTATTATTCAGATAATTTATAAATGGGAAAGGAAAGAACTGAATATATTGGTTCAATATCACACAATGAATACAATTGATCTTAGATCATAAATATCTGCAACTCTCCGTCAGGAGTTTGAGTTTGAAAATCGAGGCTATGTTCTGCATATGTGAATTAAAAGAATTAAGATTAATAAGAAACATAGTTATTAACTCCTTAACTTCTCATCTTGATTCCATCAGTCTAATATTATACTGTTGGGCCAGCTGTTCTATTCCTTGTGATTGTTAGATTTTCAGGTATATCCAAAATTATTTGTAAATCTAACAATTAGATAGCTGAGCTTTCTATATCCTTTAAATCAGATGTTAATGGTGGACAATTGGTATTTACCCCTATTTTTTTTGATTTCAATCTTACTTGTCAAATCATCATAATTCCATATTTAAGCAGATTTTGGATCAATAATATTAATCGAATATTGGTACGATTCATACCTTATAGGTTATTCGCATAATTGGCATAAAACTTAACCAAGTAAAATTGGCAATAATGATAACATTTATTTTAATAATTAAAATTATCTTTTTTTATTTTAGGATATCTGCTATAAACTCATTATGTGATACTTTTAATTTCTATGTCACTTACTACAAATTTAAATTCATAACTAATTTTTATTTTCTAATTATTTTCAAATATATAATTTCTTTCAATAAAACACAGTAAAATCTTATCAAGACTTCCTCATAGATAGAGTCATTTTTATAACAGAAATATTTAATTATGAATAGTTAGTCAATTTCAAAGATTTTCTCTTTTACTATTTTAATTAATTCTTAAAACCTTAACAACTAATAATTAAAAAATGTAATTTAGAAATAAGCTTTAATCAAAAAATTAAAATATTCATTCTGTTTTTAATTAATACTAAAATATAAAGCTAATAAGTGATATGTTTCAATTGATTCTATCTTTAATAATATAATTAATTTAAATACTAATTATGTTTACAAAAACAGAAAAATATAAATTAATTAAAATCATCTCTTCTTTAGGTATTTCATTTACAATTTCTTAACCTCTTCATCTGAATCTGAGTCGTCATAATCCTTCAAGTTAAATTTAATCTTAGGCATTGCTTTAGATCCAGCACTCTATTCCAATTAATTATTGGTCATAATATTCTCTCTAAAGTCATTAAATTAATTAAATACTTGTTATATGATTTCTAAATCGATGAAATTAAACCTGATTATTTGAGATTTGAAGATTGTAACTATTATTAGGACTTCTTTAGTGATTGTTATTGTTATTGCTATTATTATTGTTATTATTATTGTTATTATTGAAACTACAAATATTTATTATTACCTGTTATTATTGCTATTATTATTGCTGTTGTTGTTAATTATACTTAATTATTATTATTGCAACTATTATTATTATTATTGCTAATATAATTATTAAGTAAATTAATCAATTCTAACATATTTAATTGGACTTTCTTATTAGAAGGTATTGTTAGTCATATAATTAAACTATGAAACATCCTTTTATTAGTTGAATGTTGGGGATTGAATTTATAGATAATGATTCTTATCTGATTGTTAATTCTATAAAGAAAATGGTGACAAAGATTAGGAATGTTGTTGATGAATATTTTCAATTTGTGTATTTCCATTGATATCCTAAATCATGGCTTAATTTCTTTTAATTTATCTCTTGATATCACTATCCTTCATAGATATAATTAAATCGCCTAAGGATTGTTTTTTATTCGTTGAAATTTTGAATTGATTAGAAGTGTCTGAATTGTTTGAATTATTCTATGAGATCAATTTATTAATTGAATTCCTTGTAGAATTTTACATCGATTCTATCTTGTCACATAAAATCTATTAAGCGATCTCTTCGATCTCCTATTCTTTTTTTTTGGACTGAGTTTTCAATTTCAATTATTCGCTTAAGAAATCTATCTTCTATACTGGCAATCCCATTCTCTTATTCGAAGGATGAAACGTCTATTCATTTCTTGGAGGACTCATGGGTTATTATATTTAAGGTTTTTGCATCTACTTAATAATTTAATCATACTTAGTGAAGAAGAGCTCTTTGCAAATCTATAATTTGAGTTTGCATTAATTTCAACTATTCTGATTGCATGATGACCAATCTTTCAGTCAGATGCTAATTTTAAGGGAAGTTTGCAGATTAATAACTTTGATTGGAGTCCAATGGTTAAGGAACTGGTGGCTATTTGACTGTACTTTCTTATTAAAATGATTATTCTATAGTTTGAATGGGTTCTGCAGATTACAGTTTCTGTTTATTAATATTTTGAGTATTAACGGAGATCTTGTTGGGGATCTGATTGGTATGATTGATAGGATTATATAAATCCGCCACTTTTTCGATTTAATTAAAAGGCTGAGCAGAGGCTAGATCGATTTGATGATGATCTAGATTAAGTATTCTCTCCTAAGATCTTACGATTTTATATTGAGGGTCTTCTTGTATGCTAACTTCAAAGAATTATGGAGATTGATTCTTTTGGAATTGAATGAATAGAAATTAATCATATTAATCTTTGCAGATTCTTCTGGTGATATATGGACTACAGATATATTCTGTTAACATTGTCCATATGTATTATCTATTATTTAATGGTTCATCATAAGCATCATTTGAATATAACCAAGTACCTATTAATGGCAATTAAAAGATAAGAGGATCTTGAATCATCAAAGGGAAGATCCTATTGGATTGATCAAGAGAGAGAAATCCAAATTTGTATTGAACCTTTTCTTTCTTTTGGCTTGATCTGGATTTTGTAATCATTTTAGTCAAAGGGGTTTCTACAAATTTGTTGGTATGTCTTATTTCTTATAATCTAAATTTGATGGATGGATAATGCAGAAAAGTAGTGATTTGATTACATTTTTAGAAGTACAAAGCAAATCGAAATAAATTCAAATAGAGCAGATCAATATTAATTGTATTATATGAGCAGGCTTTTTGATTAAAAAATTGAGCAAGTGAGTCAGCATTCCAATTCGAATTAGCAACAGCAAAGTTTAATAAGATTGGATACATGTTATCGTTTTCCAATTTTCTAATTAATAATTAATGTTTCTTTACTCTTTATAAGTTTCTTCTATGTCATAAGAAATAATATCAATTGAGATTGTATTATCGAATTCAAAAGAATTGGTTAACCCATAGGCTTGTTTGAATTGCTGATGATACTTAATTTTATGTTGCAATTTATCATTAACGAAGATGGATGGTAGGAATTCTTCACTCTTCAATTCGATTTGAATGGATTTCAATTGATACTTGGTGATGTAATTATAGAATGAGGGTTGATAGGGAAGGAAAGTGAAGAGTTGATTAAAGCTTTTGACATCTTATTCCAGATATTCAACGAGGTCTTGGGTTTGCATTTTGAATTTAAATATAACAAATTAATTAATATATCTGAATATATATTAATAAGAGAGTAATAAAAGTAATAAAATATAAATGCAAGTGCTATATCAAATGAATTGTGTAAGGAAACACATTTTGAAAAGCAAAACATATTATCTCTAAGTCCTTGAAGATTCAATGATCTTGAGTGAAGTAAGTCCACTGAATCTATAATCTAGCATAAAAACATGGTCAATCCTAAGTATATAATACAATTTAATTTGGAAACAAGAGTGATGTGGAAGGTTTCAGAACAAGATGAATTATCTTCATTTGGAATCTACTATGTCAATCGAATTAAATGGTTCGACTCTGACCATAATTAACTAAATCTACTGAAAATTCACCTATCTCCTAAAGTTTTTTTGGAAATATCTCCATTTTTTATGATTCTGGTTCCATAATCGGATCTGGAGCATCTTCAAAAGTGAAACTAAAAATTTAAATTAGGTTTGTTTGGTTAAAGTAAAGAAGAGTATTCTTGAATTTGCAGCCAAATGCATTTCTAAAAAGTATCTCTTGTAAAAAAAGTCATCTGATCGCATGGTATCAATTTTCTTATTCATTATTAGAATAGATTATAGTAAGAAATACAAATCTTGTAGAAGATCGATCATCCTCATTTCGTGAAGTTGCATGAAATCTACCAAGGAGAGAACTCCTATTATTTGGTTACCGATTACTTAGCAGGGGATACTCTTTATAATTATATTAAAACATTCCCAGATGATTAGATACCTCCTCATTAAATCAGGGAAGCTATCAAGGTTTGCATATGTTTCTATAATAGATAATATTGACAGCCTTAAAATATTTGGAAATTAACAATATTATCCATAGAGACATAAAATTAGAAAATATCTTATTATAAAAATAAAACGACATTACTTCATTAAAGATAATTGATTTTGGTTTAGCTATCTATGCATTACCTGAACAAAAAGTAAGCATTTGTGGCACTCCTGGATACATTGCCCCTGAAATACTCAAAAATTCTAATGTTGATGATTATTTCACTCCTAAATGTGACATTTTCAGTGCAGGAGTCATCTTTTATAAATTGTAACCTTAATCATAAATATAATCATAGATTGACAAAGAAAACATTGTTTCGTGCACAAAATACAATGGAAATTATGGAACAAAACAAATTATGTCAAGTCAATTATTAAGATATTTAATATAAATTATAAAAAGAGGCAGTTAGTTTGTTAAAATCTATGTTGGATCCAAATCCTAAAACTAGATTTTCAGCAGCTTAATGTCTTGAACATCCCTATTTTAGTTGTAAACTTGAAAATATTAATATTTTACAAGAAATCTTAGATAAAGCTACAGGATTTTCTGGTCTCTCATAAATTAGTACTATATATTATTACTATTATTATAGAAGAATATAAGGATACCCATTCTATTGGATAGGAATGTTAAGCAGCTCAAATTAAGAAATGCAATCCTACTTCTTATCGAGTCAGGGCAGAATAAAGAAAAAGGACGAAAAGTCCAAGGAAATATGCTGAATTTCAATTTTATTGTCCATCCTTTTGTTAAATGAACTCTTTTGAAAGTTTAAGTAGTAAGGGGTCTTCATCGTATTCAAATAAAGTCTCCAGGATTGAAAACCTAATTAATGATAGATTAGATTCAGTTATTGAGGATGATGAAAAATTTCAAAAAAATGTTAAGTAGGTATTTTAAACTTGAATAAATTTACTAAGTTTATGATTTTATTAGTTTTATTCCCATATTTATTAACATTTGATCAAGATTTTCATCATTAATTAATCTCATAAATAATCAAATTTTCAATAAATATAAATTGATGAATGATAACAATTTGGACGCATAGTAATAATAAACTAGAAGTGGATAGTCATAAGCAACATATAAATCTATTAAATCACAGAATATTGAGTTACAAATTAACACTAACACTCTCATTTAATAAGAAAGTTCATATCCAAATGTTCCATAAACAAGGCAATCAGAAAAGCTATTATGTTCAAAATGCAATGTTCCTGTAGACTCTGACATATCTTATGAAATGGGGAAAGGAAGCTACGTAGTAATTATTATTTTACTTGCATTAATAATTACTTCTTTTCTTGCATTTCTCCCTTGCTTATTAAACAATTGCAAAGATGTATAACATAGATGCTCAAAATGTACTAAACTACTAGGCACAAAATAATTCTTATTTGGATGATAATCTATTTGATTTTTCCATATTTAAAAAATGCTGTTTTTCATATTAGACAAGAATTTAATTGGCTAAATTAACTAAATCATATCTTTTCTATTCTCATAAACTTTGGTCTTCTCGAACTAAGAAACAAATTAGAATATATTAATAAAAGTTAATAAAATCACAGAAATAATTACGACTTAGCAATGTATCTATGAAACATTCCAGATTCTTTTAATTCTTATTTTTATTATTCAATTCTTGTATCTAAATTCAATTTTCTACCTTCCTTTAATCCATTAGTATTTTATAAAAACTTAGTTTTCTTCCATTATGATGACATCTATTAATATCTAGCTACGGGATCAGATCTTTTTGGTAGTGTATTAAATGATTTTTGTTTATAATTATATTTCTTTTGCATTTATTGGCTTTGGTGAATGCTAGTGGTATAAATAGGTTTGTAGGATTATGAAGTAGAAGGCCTGTTTTCAATTTTACTAATATTTTTTAATTAATTTGTAGCTTCAGTCAATACTTTCTGATTATTTAAGTTAGATAGAGATTTCTTATTTTCAACTTAATTTCTTTAAGGCAATTTAAATTTAATTCCTATTTTTTGTAATTTGTTATCCTTTTCTTATTCAACTTCTTCTTCATCGTCATCTTCATTTTCTTATTCGTCTTCACTAATGTTTTATTTGATATTAGCGAATTGAATAGCTTCAAAATCCTATCTATCATAATCTAAATATTCATCTTCTGGAATTGATGAGATTTCTTCATCACTACTATAATTTTACATCGTAATTATATTACTAACAGTTAATAATTTAAATTTTAATATATAAAGAGAGAATTTGTAAACTGATTATATTAAATAATAAAAAGATTGAATGATTTTGTAATGAATCTCAAAGATTTATTATAAATTCGTAATTCTTTAATAAATGAATGTAATGATAAATTTGTAAGGGGGTAGTGTGTAGGAGTATAAGAACAGAGGATTAATTATAGATAATTCAAAGGATTTTTTTAAATATAAAATCTTGTGTGAAAATGAATAGTAATACTTAGATGAGAGAAGAAGGAATAATGGAATGTTCAGGCAATATTGAGGATGAAAACTCAATAAACTATGATGAACCACATTATTCAGCCGATGATGAATAAGTATTATGTTATAATCTAATGTCGTAGTAATGTGGAGAATTTGAAAACGAAGTTGAAGTTCCTGTTTACACTCCTTAACAATTGTTTTCTTACAAGAAACCATGTCCAGTATTTTAAGATGAATTTATATTGGATGAAGATCCTAAAAAGAAGGTCTGCATAGAAGAATGTACTACAACAGAACAATCCGAGGATCATCCAGCAATGGGAGATTTGGAGATGTTAGCTGCTATGCTTTTAAAAGAAAATTAGAAAAAGTTTTCTTATCCAAAGGATTTACCAGTTCCAACTAATGTAGAGTAACATCTAGAGGAATTGAAGATGAGATTCAATCCCTCTCAAAAATAAGAGGATTTCATTTCTACATATGTTAAGGGTGATGATTTGCTTAGAATCAAGGTAGGATTATGTGAGGAGATACTGAATGATGAAGAAACATAGAAATTTGAAGATTGGGTTGAATAACTATGTACATCAACTAATCATGAATCCTTAAAAGAGATGGCAAGGAAATAGAAAGTGAAGAGATACTTAGAAAAAAAGCATAGTAGAACTTACGAAAAGAAAGTTCATTATCATATTAGACAAAAGGTTGCTGAAGAAAGACTCAGAGTTAAGGGAAGATTTGTAACTTGGACATAAGTAATTTATACAATTAAATATTATTAGGCTTTGAAAATGTTAAATGAATAATAAGATTCCAAAAAATCATGGACATATAATGATTATTTTAAGATCAAAAATTTACTAAATGAAAAGTTTGGGGCCATCAAAAGCGAAAGGTCATTAAAAATTTGATTTTAAACATAATCACTTGTGTATTTATAATAATAATTAATTATCTATTCATCATAATTCAATATGTTCATTCTCTTAATCAAGTTCATGATTATTCCAATTACTATTTTAATGCATGTCAACCATCTCCTCATCATATTTTATTTGCTCCTTCTCTATCCTTGAAGTGTGATTGTTTTATTGTGGAATGGTGTTTTAGAAATTTAACGTTGGTTTCAACTTTTCAAACGGATTTTCTTGTTCTATTAAATGCTAATTTAAATTCAATTCTTACATGATCACCATCCTAGTCTTCCAAATCTCCATAATCCTATTGCAATGATTATTTCTTCAATTGCTATTCATCCTTATTTGCTTTTTAATATTATGTTGAAATCTATCCTGATTACTCAATAGGGTCTTGTTGTAAAAATTAAAAGCATTGTCTTGCAGACTATTAACAGAATTCATAAAGTAATGCTAATTTCCTTAATAACATTTTAAAATTAAATTTATAAATATATATACATACATTATCAAAAATAATCAATAAAGCTAAACACTTTAATTTTACTATCGAACAAATTTATAAACTTATAATTGGACATCTTCGTTATTCTTTTTTTTTTTAAATAATTTAGGGAGTTTCAAACTCTAAATCAAACATACTCTAGAATCAAGATTTTAACTTGGTGTTTTTGAATGTTGAATTGATTATTAGTGTTATAATTATTATTATAAAATCTTTGTTTTTCTGCTCTATTGAATCTCAATAAGAGGACATTCAAAAGTGAGTTCTAGTTTCCTTTCCTTTGAATGAGAAGAAATAAATTCATAATAATTTTAAATATTAGAAGGTTAATGCTAAATCTTTCCTAACATTTCTTAAACAACTTTTTGAGATTTCCCTTCTGTATTTTTTTAAGGGTGTTTCTTTTTATGAGATGTTTAATGATTTTATTAAGATTAATTGATTTATGTAAATTTATCTTCTTCATCCTATGTTTTAATCAAATAGTTTGGTGATTGAGTCAAGAAATCAAACCCACCTGAATGTTGATATGAATTACCTAAGAATATTTCCTTTGAGATTCTCTTGTTTTCATCTAACTTATCAATCATTTTATTCAACTCTGATAAAGTTTAACCACTACAACAATACAATTTAAATCTCTAAATTTAATTATTACTAATACATCTGCAGGCAAAAATAGCATTTTAGATTTTTCAGTTAAACACACAGCTTTTGATAATCGAAATTCTTAATTAGCCACTATTTCTAAATATCCGAATAATTATCCATATCCACATCGGTTTAATTTTAATTAAATATTCTTTTGACCTTGAATAGAAAAAGCATACATTACTATAAGATCTCTGCAATTTTCTACTATATTGTTAATCAAAATGATATTCGTTTTTTGCATTCTATGTAATTTCAATTTACCCCTCCAAAACAAAATAAACACCTCTATTCATAATATAGATTATGCTACTTCACTATTTCTCCTTCCTTATATATCAACGTATCATAACAATATTCCAAAGGCTGAAGATGATATTACATTTAACTTAATTCTGCATCATTCCAAGCCTTGAATATCTGAATTGATTTGAGAAACTCAAAATTCTTTTGCTGGATTCGATTGTAATATTCAGCTATAATAATATATTCATAAAATACATAGAAATTTGTTAAAAGCTTCTCTTGACAATGTTATGAATTGTGAATTCTCTTTGCAAACAATAGTAGCTTGTCTTGGGATAAAATTAGTAAGAGCTATTTCACCAAAAGAGCCACCTGCTGCTATTTAGCCTACTTTCATTAGAGTTGGATATTTCTAAGTTAACATGGTTTCGTCATCTAATTCAATGAATTCGAATTCATCCTAAATTGAGTTTCAATTGTATTACTTAGAAGGTTCCTTCGTCTATTTCGATCTTGTCTTTGTTGTTCTCATCTTTTTTGGTGAATGTACCACTCTATAAACCTGATCTAGCAACTAAGACCTAAAATGAAGAAGGTTTGAAATACCCAAACTGAGCCACTCAAAATTATATAGAAGTTCTTTCCTATATCTCCCAAACGAAATAAAGTTCTTCTGGCAGGCACTTCAATGTATTGTAATTCCTTTAATCAGTAATATTGATACTCTAAATAAATTTAGCATTTCATCTTAACTGGTTGTCTTGCTCATCTCTTAAAAATATTTAATTGAGGAGAATGCCATGGCTAATAATTATAAATCGTTGGCATTTCTTAACTTTTTTGGTTTCTCCAAAACACCAACAATAACCTTATGATTGATCTTATTATACTTGAAAATGCTCCTTGTCTTGCAGATCAACATATTCTTTTGCCAGTATCTCTTTAACTTAATGTTAAAGATGAAGTTACTATTTTATTTTTTCTATGTTGGATAATTAATGAGTCATTATTTTTTATTTTATTATATTCCTCTAAACAATTATAATAAAATCATTTTTGGATGAGAAATTCTTGTTTTTTCCATTTTAACTCAAACTATTCTGAATGCACCTGTACACTGAGATTATTTAATGTCAAATTCCGATAGAATATTTTAATATTAAGATTAGTGATAGAATTTAAACTCCTTTGAAATTCATTATTGTGAACTTTTTCATAGAATTTATGCTGTGATTATTTATAAATATATATATATATAAATTCAAAATGATTTAAAAGGAGAATCAAACATTCAAATACCCATCAATTAACTATTGCAATCCCAATTCCTCATTTAGAAGATATGTAAAAGATGAAACTTACACTCAATGTATCATAGAACTCAAAGTGGAGGATTACCAACGCTCATCTATTTCAACTGAAGGATCATTTGACTATTCACAATCTTTAAAAATTAATAAAAAGACTAAAATTCACAAAAACAAAGATAAATAATTACCACAAAAATCAGAAACAAAGAACATACCCAAAAATTTTGGGGTTTTGCTCAAGAAATATTTATGTACTCTTTATACTATTTTATTAGGTAGTAAAAATGTAGAAAATTAAGCAATCAAAGCATTCTTAAAGAATGGAGAAAACAAAAAGAATTTCTCAAGACAAGATTTCACTCGTCTTTTTAATGATCCTTATGCAGCAGACCTATCCAGAGAGTATTTCTCAGGTTTTTAAATAATACATGATCTTATGATAAGTGAAAAAATATAGGATGTCAAAAATCATCTCAAGTATATAAGTAAATTTTATAATTCCACTTATAATAAATAAGAGCTTGATGAACTTAAGTTATAATGATTTTATTTAAACATTTTTATAGTTTATTAAGTATCAAAATATTCTATTTTTAATTAATCGTAATTATTATTCGCATCATCTTATATTTCATAATCACCTTCTCTGCATTAACTCACACAATGACTAAAATATTCACAAGTAATAAATTGTACTATATAATTTAGAAATCATCAGAATTTTAGACTAATTCTATTCTTATACATTTTTAATCAAATAATTTATATTAAAATAAAATGTTTAATGATAATATTAAATAAAGCAGATAAATCAAAATAGATAATGATGCAAATATCAAAAATACTATATTCAAAAAGGCATCAAAAGCGACATCCAATTATTTTATGCCTTATAATTATAAATAAATGGAAAACCCCTCTGAATCTGCTCGTTAATATTAAATGAATTTGGAGTATAAAAGGTTAACTAGAAGAGAATTCAGAAATATTTTCAATAGAAAATATGGAAGGGGAAATGATAGTTGGAAAACCTAAAAAGTTGAATTAATAATGGATTACGATTTTCCAATCTAATGATCTTGTAAATACTGTATATTATTTATTAAAATGTAATTCACAATTCAATTTATTCTCCTCATAAATCTTTTACCAATTCTTAGTTTTCAAAAATCTTGGCAATAATCTATCAAAGATAAAAAGTCATTTAAAATGATGGATAAATACGTTTTATAGAGTTATAACTATTAAATATTTCAATTTTATTCGGAGTAAGACAGCAGAAGTATTTTACAATGATTAATGCTTATTAATATCTCATTTCATTAGAATATTCAATTTGATTATTAAATCTTTAGAGTAGTTAAATTATTAATACGAATTAAGTATGGCTTATTATACTATTTTTTGGTTGAAGCATTAAGGTTTGATTGTGAATACTAATAAATTCTAGTTTGAATTAAAAATGCAATGTCATCATTACATTCAAAAAAAAGGAAGTGATTTTTTCTTACTATTCATTTCTAATTCGAATTTAATGTATAAACTGTTATCATAAAATATTGAATTTTTCAAGTTTAAAAAAGTACTTTTAAATACATAGACAAAGTTACTTATTGTTTGGTTTTTAATAAAAACCAAGTTAATTCATACTTTCTATCAGCCCAAAACAGAGCTGCGACCTAACTATGGTTTTCATAATACTTTGCTTTAGGAATTCTTCCAAGCAATTAAGTTCACGTTGAATAATAAGAACGTAACCCCAAGGTTTATGTTTCGAATTGGATATCCTAAAAACACTAGAATCTAAAGAGTTGGAAAGATGAATGTCGATTGTTTGAACAATTATGTTCAAATCAAAATATTTGAAGCTTTAAACTTCATTTTTTAATATCAGATATCTTTGATATATATAGTTATAAATATCATTGTTGGGATGTCAACATGATTTTAAAAATCAAATTAAATGCAAATTATTTTATTTTATATATTCCTTCCTCACTAATGATCATTTTAATTGTTTATTAATTTTTTATAGTACTTTTTAATTTTACCGAAAAAATTTGTTTAATATACCTCTCCAGTTCTACTACTATTTTATCCATCTATTATTGATCTTTTTCCATTTCTATTATCTTCATTCTCGTTTAATCCTTAAACAAAATATTTTTGTATCTTTATAATAAATCTTGAGCCTCCTTCTCTTTTATGGCATTAAATTCCGATTCTTATTATTATTTTTGATTAAATTTTCTTTAATAGTCGCTTTAATTCATATTTTGTTTTTTTTATTTTTTATGATAGACTCTTATTCTTTCATAATATTTTGTGATATGAAACTACTTTATGTAATTAACTAAAGCATATTATATATAATAAGAATCTAAATTCGATTTAAATTATTTATTGAATTCTTGAATCTCATAATCCGAGGGTAATTTCTTCATTAAATCATCTAATTTACAAATTACTTTTTAAATCTATACTTTTAACTAATTTAATTATGATGGATTTAATTATGACGGATTTAATTAATAATTAGTCATCATACTATTTATTTAAATTATTTCTTCTTATAATTCAAGATCTTATTTTTATAAGTTTTCGTAAGTTTCCATTAGTTTAGTATCCATAGGTGTGAATTTTATTTCTTTACTTTTTTCATTCACCGAATTTATTAGAAGTTCCAATTCTCCTCCTGCTTTCTAGCTAACTTTTTACTATTGCACAAGCAAATCTTTTATTTAATTTTTGTAACCCCATTTTTTATTCTCAATCGCCATAATACGCTCCTTAAATAAATTTTAGTTTTCACAAAATGTATGAAAATCAAACTACAAAGTTTTTTTTTATTCACTTAAGGTTTCTTAAAGCTAAACTGTCTATTCTTTCATTTGACTGAAAAACTTATTGCTTTCACATTCTATTTTCATTGATCTTATATCTTTCTAGAATTGCATAAATATGGGCTGCAATTTAGTATATAAAGTTAATAATTACATTTATTATTGACAATCTTATTAATTAGATTATGTTTGAATTATGACTTAAAGATTGGGTAATTTTTTTGGATCATCATCAACTTGTTGCTTTGTCTTTATAGAAAATTAAGATTCATTTATTTTATTATTTTAAAATAGGCAGAAATTTGGTTTAACATTTTGTTAGAACTTCTAAAATTAGATATTTTATTGTGATTTTTTCTAATCTTTATTTGGAGTATTTTCGTATTAAAAAGTTTTTATTCTGAAGTTTATTTTATTTATTAATTCTTGCAATCCAATTCTAAATGATTTGTTTTATTATAACATGCAAGACAGCAATTATTTGTCAAGCTATTCAATACCAGTAGAATTATCTAAAATTTAATCTATTTATTTTTAATTTAAATCTACTAAATATTTTCTCAAAGCTGTAGCGTTTTTAGCTAAAAATAAGAATAGATATTTAACCTTGAAGAAATTCTTCTAGAGTAAGAATATAATAAAAAGTGATACCAAGGCTCCAAATATCAGCAGTTTTATCATAATTGCCTTCACTTAGAACAACTTCAGGTGCCATGTAATTAAAAGTACCTACTTGAGGAGTTTAATTTATTGTATCTGTTCTCTTTACAATACCAAAATCTATTAATTTAATTTAATATTCCTAGTTTTAATTTATAAAATAGACAAAGTTTTCAGGTTTCACATCTCTATGGAAATAACCAAGGTCGTGTAATTCTTGAACTCCTTGTACCATCTTAATAAAGAATTTAATTTACTTATAAGAACAAGTTTAGTTTAGTCATGTAAGGCAATTGTGTATTCTATTTTATCAAAGCTAAGACATCACCCTTCCCTTTTTCCAATGCTACATAGATTTTTGGCTCATATTTGGATTGTTAATTACTCCTGTTATCCTTAATTCCAAGTATTTTTATAATATTCTTACATTTGGATTATTTTTCACTTTATAGTCTTTTAATTTACTCAAGAACTTCTATTTCCTCCTATTTTATGTCATAATATTCTTTGATTATTATCTCATCCTTTAGATTACCTAATAGATTTCCGATTTGATTATTGGTTTAAGTACCTTAGGAACCGAATAATCTTATATTTTCATATTGTTTCCCCTCAATTTCAACCAGTACTCCATTAGTTGTCCTGAATTAAGGTTTAAGAACAGAATTAATTATCATTTTTATTGATAGAAATACAAATTATTATTTTAAACACTCTTATTATAAAAAATTAAGTATTATAAAAAATGATATCAAAGAGATGAATATTTACTTACTAATTAAGTGGTTCTACTATATTCTTAATTTGATTTATCGGAACTAAATTATCTTGAATTGTTGAGGGCAGCGTATTGTTGAGGGAGTTCTTTTATTAAATCTCTTCTACTATGTCTTAATTTTCTTTTATAATTTTTAACAGCCTAATTGTTTCTTATGATTTGTGATATTGAATTAATCGAAGTATTGGGATTCTGGGCCTGTTTTTCCAGTTATTTTGCTTATTTTTATTAATATTTGATGGTTGATTAGTAGTATTTTTCCATTAGGATTAACGACATTGTATTGAATGAGTCATTATTATTATTGGGTGGCCTTTCTCTAGATATTTTAATGATAGGAACATCTAATAACTTAGCGTCCTAAATGCTTAATCTACTTTTAATGGATTCGATTGTTTATCTTGAGAACATTTCATTTGTGGATTTGAATGTTTATTCTTTATTTGATATTCGATACTGGGAATAATTCGTGGGTTATTTGCTATTTGAATGAATCTACAATTTTGGAGTCTTACTTCTTTCTTTAGATCGTGCTCTAGCTCTTTATTATTAAGAAAGTTGAGGTATTTTTTCTAAATCAAAAATCTTCATTTTCTCTTTGAGGATGTCCAAGGCTCTGCTCCCATAATAGTCATCACCTTCTGTTTTACAATATGATTAATTAAATATCGAAGAATTATTCATATTATAAAATAAATTATTCAACACAAAGCTATTATATAATAATTTAATTAGAGAGTGTGTGTTAGTGAATTTAAAATTACTACAAGAAATTAAAATAATTAATATAAATATCATGTCTCAATAATAGCAGAATTTATCAAGTTTTTTAGAACACAATTTGGATCCCATAACAAGTAGATATATAATGGGAAAGTACTTAATGATGGATGGAGGTGAGTAATCTCTAGATTTGAGACATATGTGTGATAATGTGAAATTGGAAATGCAATTAATTGAAAAGGAAGCAGCATATGACTATTTAAAAGTATCTATTTGAAAATACAATAAGGTTGAAAAAGAGATGTATGAGTTGGATGGCGAGATAGAGAAGAGCGATGCGATTCTAGGAGAGTTAGAGAATGTTTTATTGAATTTCAAGGATTATTTGAATGATATTAAATCAGAGATGACATAATTGCAAGAGAGGAGTGTTAAGATGAATACTTCATTGACAAACAGAAAAGCTTTATCTTAGATATTATCTAGTTTTGTTGATTAAGCTGTATTGGATCCTTCCTTGATTGATAATATATGCAGTAAAGAGATTAATGATTAATATGTGGAATACATCAGGATATTATGCTCAAAATTAGAATACTTGAAAAACACTGAGTTAACCGATGCAAATGCAGTCAAGAATCTAGGGCCAGAACTAATTAAGTTAAAAAATACAGCTTGTAAAAGAGTAAGAGAATTTATGATAGACAAATTAAATCAATTAAAGAAACCAAAAATAAACATTCAATAATACTAAATTTAGGAATTGGTTAAATATAAGATATTCACCGAATTCATGAAGGATCATTACTTAGATATATATGTGGAGTTATGTAATCTCTATACAGATGCTATGAGTAAATTGTACTTGAGCAATATGAAAATCTACGTTGCAGAAATACATAAATTAACAATTGATGTTTATTTGCGTAATGATCTCATTGTGCCTGATAGTCAATAGAATTATAGACCATAGTTGAATTTAAGAAATGTGGTAGGATTAACTATTGAGAATAGATCTATATTTCAATTGATGAATCGTGATTAAATACTGTAATTCATGGATGAGGAACCTTTGTTACATACTCAATTGAATTAGAAAAATTAGAAAATCCTAATTGAATAATACTTTAAAACTATTAATAAAGTTTTGATTGATACTGTATTGCATGAGGACAGATTTAGTTAGGACTTCTTTAGTTTGAAACCTGATTAAAACAGACTTATTTTTAGTGGTGTGTTTAAGAATACTATTCAATTTGTATTGGATCATTTAAAATAGACTGTGAGCATATTTGATATATATGCATTTTTATTAATCATATTATTAAACGAGAGATTTTAGAAGCATATGCACTCTAAGAACTCACATGTATTGGATTTTTACTTTGAATAAGTGAATATGATATTATGGCCAAAGTTTGAGTAAGTGTTTGATACTCACATCCAAAGTATTTAGAGTACTAATGTGAGATTGTATAGATCATTGGAAAAGTATTATGGATTTCGCAGCTTTGTAATGAGATACATAGATCTAACATTATCATTATATAAATTATATGCATATTTTGAGGATAACAAAATGATTGTGAGCAGAATTAATCAATTGAGATTAAGATATTTTGATTTAATAAAGAGAACTGGAGCAGAATTTGAGATTGAAGTAGATAGGATTACATATACATTATCAGTCTATGAAATGATTGTGACAGCATACAATACAGCCTAGATGACCACATACAAAAAGGAATTTTCAGAAGAGACTTTGTTCTTGGAGAAAGAGACAAACAAGTTTAGCGAGAAGTTGATTGAAATCTATTTAAAGGAGTTGTTTGGGAATCTTGTGGATTTCATATAGAAATATGCAAAGGAGGAAAGTGAACTAGAACTGAACCTCTATGATAATAAATAGTAATCAGAAATTAGGGTGGTTGAAAAAGTATAGAATGTTAATTAAGTGGATAATAAGAAATTGATAGAAAATATAAGTTAGGTATATAGATTATTATATATCAATAGGATGTGAATTTATCTTGGAATAAGAGAGTTGATGTGTTTAGATTGGAGTGTGAAAAACATTTCTAGGGCACTAATTTAATGAAAAGCTTGTTAAAAAAATTCCTTTAAACTTTTATGGCCTATTATAATGCATTCTATAAGTATGCCAAAGCCAATCATCCTATGTATGTGGCCAATTTGACTCAAGTAACAACAATTATGAAAGAAATTAAAGCAATTCAAACGAAATATAATATGTGAATTTATTGATAAATATCCGGAATATATAAGTATTTATAAAAAAAAGAGGTTTTATAGAAATAATATAAAAATTTATTTAAATAATTTAAATATATAAATTATGCTATTTCAAAACTAGAACAACAACAATAACAAGCCTCCAGTACCTCCAAGATTCTATCCAGGCAACCCTGCATTGAATAAAAATGCTGATGGACTTCTTTGTTCTATTAATACTGCTTAAAACAATATTTAAATCTCAAGAGCTGAAACTAGAGTAGAGTATTACAGAAATCAAAAACAACCATCTTAATCAATGGCCTAAGGTGGATTTTAATAATAAAATCAACAGGGAACTCTATTTGGAGGAGTCCAACAACCACAATAATAACAATCGACATTATTTGGTTAGTAAGCACCTGCTTAACCAACATTATTTGGACAATCCTAGCCAGGATTAGGACTAGGAGGCGGTTTAGGAACAGGAATGGGAACAGGTCTAGGAACTGGATTAGGTGGAGGATTAACAGGTTTGGGTCAATAACAGTAGACACAACCTAATTAAACAGGTTTAGGCGCAGGTTCACAAGCAAGTCCATTTGGAGGAGGTTTAGGAACAGGATTCGGAGGAGGACTAGGAACTGGATTAGGAACAGGATTGGGTACAGGATTAGGCACAGGATTAGGAACAGGACTAGGTTCAGGATTAGGCACAGGATTGGGCACAGGATTAGGCACAGGATTAGGAACAGGATTGGGATAGAATCCAGCCACTTAAGGAACAGGTTTGGGATTAGGATTTGGATAATAATAGTAATAATACTAGCCAGGATTACTTGGACTGGGTTAACCATAATAATAGTAAGGGTTATTAGGAGCAGCACCTTAACAAGGAGGCTTGCAATTATAACAGCCTATGCAATAATAACCTTAAGGACTATTAGGTTAGATGCCATAATAAGGTTTAGGATAGTAAAATTGGGATAATAATCCAAGTGGAGCAATGAATTAGGCAGCTCCAAATTAATAAGCCTTCTATAATCCAGCATATCCAGTTTATTAGCAATAGCAATTAGACATGAATATAGATTTTGATATCAAAAATGAATAGGAATACTTAAGAGAAGTAGAGGATGAATTCAAAAAAAAGTTTCCTACTTTTAGTGAGTATGCCTAGTAGAATGACGTAACCTTTAGTGTGGGTAATGTTAATTTGAGATTCAAGAATCCATCCTTAGAAATTAAAATTAAGTCAAAGAATAATTAAAAACAAAAGGAAGAAATAAAACCATGGTATCTGTCTTTAAAATAGGATAAAAAGGATTAAAAATAATACAAGCAATCCCTGAATAAATAATATTATAGTAAGAGTAATAAAAAGGAAATGGATGATTATGCATAAGGAAGTCTTGTGCAAATCAAATCAGAGGAATAATAAAGTGAAAAAAAAATAAATCCCAGAGCACCCATATGTACGAACTATGTTTTAACTCCAAATATTTAAGCCCTTTAAGAAATGAGTGATAATTAATTAACTAGAGTCAGAGATTTCAAGATTTCGAATTAATATGGCAGCATTCAATTCTTAGAGTAAGTAGATTTGAAGGATATGAATATTGATTAGATTGTTAAATTGAAATAGGATAGTGTAGAGGTATAATCTTAAATTTATTTTTAGTTTTATCCAGAAGATCTATTTGGATAAGTTCCTAAGTATGGGAATGGGTTGAATGTAAGATGTAAAGTAGTACTAACTAACTTTGCTTGTGAGAATAGAGGCATGTGTGAAATGAGATTAAATAACAAAAAGGAATTCGAGAAAGTAGTCAAAAGTTGGACGGAAAAGAACAATATGAAGTTCATTTCAGCTGGTGATGATGTTGTTTTTGAATTGGATCAATTATGATTAAAATATATTATAGATACCATTATTAGAATATCTCATAATCAATGTAACTAATATTATTATTATATGAATAAATTTTGTGATTATAAGTCTTGTTAATTCAATATTAAGCAACCTACTATAGAACAAAGATCAAAGTTAACCAAAGTTATGTGTCCTCTCTGTTTGGCATCCAATTACTGTAGTATTAGATGCAGAGATCTTGATTGGTACATTAAATAATAATTCTCAAGGCCCATTTATCATAAAGGAGTATGTAAGAAAAGCTAATCTGAGAGGGCCAAGTCATGCAATGATACAATGGATTCCTCCTCAGCTGTTAGTGTCAGAAGAAAACCTGAAGAATTCGAAATTATAATAATTGGCTCAAAATAGGAGTTGGGAAGAGGGTCATATGGATCAGTTAAACTAGTCAAAGACAAATAGAATGGATAATTATATGCTATGAAAATAGTAATAGTTTTGATGATTATTCCTAGATGAACAAGAGACAAGTTTTTGAGTATTGTTCAGTGGAAAATCTAAAAAGGGAAATCAAAATACAACGCAAACTATTTCATTCGAACATTTGCAAACTTTATCATTATTTTGAAGATAAAGAAAATGTGTATTTGGTTCTCGAATATGCTGGTATTTATCACATTTGGATTAGAAAATGGATCTCTGTTTCATTACATCAAAAAGAGAACCAAATTACCAGAAGATGAAGCATTTGTATACTTCTTTTAGACTTGTCTTGGAATTGACTATCTGCATAAAAACAAAGTAATACATAGAGATCTCAAAGTAATTTTCAATTTTATATGAATAGCCAGAGAATCTTCTCTTAGATAATGAAGGAAATGTGAAAATATGCGATTTTGGTTGGAGTGCTGAGAGTTTGACAGAGAAAAGAATGACATTCTGTGGAACATATGAATATATGGTAGAAAACAATTAATATTATTAGGCTCCTGAAATGCTGAATAAACAACCACACGATTTCAGTCTAGATGTTTGGAGTTTGGGTATCTTGTTATACGAACTCTTGCATGGTAATGCTCCTTTTAGAGGCAGGAACAATGAAGAATTATGCAACAAGATAAAATCAGGCTAGCCTATTAATTTTGCACCTACCTTATCTCATGAAGTTATTACTCTAATCAAAGGGATCCTGAAGTACATTCCATCTGAAAGATTCACTATGGATTAAATCTTTGATCATCCCTGGATGGTAAGACATGCTGCTGCTCTAAAAATTGACATCTGGACTTATGTTTACAAACCTCAATACCCAACCAGATAGATTCCCTTAATCAACTTTAAGTCTACATCAAAACCCATGGACATACAAAAGAAAGAACTACAAGTTAGACCCATGTCATAGGATTATACTAAATTCAAAACTCAAGAATAATAATCCAATTATAAGAATTATTCTTAGAATGATTAGATAAAATAAGACGATTTAAACAAGCATAGAATAACTAGAGTGTCTAATAGAAACGAGATCTTGCTCCATTAATACCAATTATAACAACAGTAATAGGAATAGAAATTGGGATTTATGGATAAGGTCTTCTTGGCATTCGGCTGTTTGAATAGAGATAAAAAGTGATTATTTACTTGAATATTGATTATATATTATTATTTTAATCATAGTATTATTATTTTGGTAATCAATTTATATAGATTACCATGAAAGCAATAAAAGGCATCGGAGTTGATATTGTTAATAACCAAAGGATGTTAAATATTATCAAAGCCTAATATGCAGAGCGATTTTTAGTAAAAGTGCTCCATCCTTCTGAAATTGAATAATTCAAAGGCAAATCCACTATTCAATTGCAACAACAGTTTCTAGCATCAAGATGGGCTGTCAAAGAAGCACTTGTTAAAGCCTCTAGTTTTAAAGAGTTAGTATTTCCAGAAGTGGAAATATGCAGAAAACATGATAAACCAAACATTGTGTTACACAATACGAATTTGGAATATTTTAAGAAGAATTTTGGGAACGATTATGAAATCTAAGTTAGTATATCCCATGAAGATAGTTATTCTATTGGATTTGTCATTTTATAGATATGAGTATTTATATTAAATTTAAGGGTATTTATTATAATATATGTATTTTTGATCTAACTTAAATATTTAAAGATACTAACGATTAGCTTTTTTATGATTATCTATTGACATAATTTAATCATTTTATTTATTTTTATTCATAACATTTATAAGTTTAATTCTAATTGGTATAAATCACACATAATATAAATCATGGTTTTTTGATTGTATTGCCTTTTTATATAGAAGTCAGCTATAAAGTCATTGATTTCTATTTAATATTCATCCTAGACTTTGGTCTTGGATTATGAGTTATCATGTCTTGAGTCTTATCTAGGGATAATTAATATTGTCTCTCATCCATTGATTATTTTGATCTTAATATAATAATTTCGATATACTTAGTCAAGACTTCTTAGGCTTCAGTGATTGATCTATTTTTACGATTTATTAGTTTGAGAGCAAATGTTTAATTTTAAAATCCATTCTAGAAAATGGATGATCGATATTTATTTTCAAGTACAATAGTTTATTTAGAATTTTCCAAATGATTTTTGTCTTTCCTTAAATTTTAGGAATCGTTTAATTCTTTTTTTAATTAAGTGATTTCCTTTTATTAATTCTAATAAATATTATGCGATTTCAATACATGGATCTAACATTTGTGTTCTTTTTCAATAGAAACCTATTAATCATATAGCTCCTACACATTCTCACAATAAAGCTTCAATCTCTATTCTGTCTATTTGTTAATTTTCTCTTCGATACCCTAATATGATCTCTGCATTATCCTTCGTAATTCTACAGTTATTCCTCCAATTATGCATACTATTGATTCAAATCTGACAATACTCTAAAATAGAATAGTGATATTTGTTCTATACTTCAATACATCATCTAAGATAGCAAAAATGAATTAGATTTTTTTAAATGAGTTTTCTGGCTGAATTATGCTGGCAGTTTCCTATCCTAACTCAGTTAATTTATTCATCAATTTCGGAAAGTAATTAGTAACCTAGATAATGCTACATGTTACTTCAGTTTAGATCAAATCCAATAAATTCATTATTTATATATTATTTATATGTAATATCAATTTCCAATAAATTTTGTTTATTCTCTTGGTGGTTTTCATTTCTCTAATGTTTTAATGCAGGATGTGGTTATTTTAACAATTCAAAAGTACTATCATCCTAAGTATTTTGCCAAGTTTTATATCAGATTAATCACTTACTTCATCTGATCAACTAGATCGAATTCTTTTGATAATTATTAAATCAAGAATTCGATTTGTTTAAAACTGACATTTTCAAGTATCTCTGTTTTTAGTTTATTGAGAATAGTGTAATACAGTTTCATTATTTTTGGCTATGGGCATAGGTTTAAAATCTAAGAAACTATAACCAGTAGTCAATTTGATTTTAGATGATGGAACCTCATATTTTTTAGCATCATATGGCCTCAAACAAACAGGAGTGGGATTTGATTCTAATTGTTATTTCAAATTACTATCTACACTTAGTTGATCTATTCGATCCACTTGATATATTAGATGATCCAATTCTGGAACTAAACTTCATCTTTTGAATCCATCTATAAAATGTTTGATCATTTTTAATAATATATATAGAAATGAATGTTCATAAAAAAATTCTGGAAAAGAATGGAAGATTGGACAATCCTCAATAATAATAATAACAATCATAAGCAAAAGAAGAGGAATATATTCAAAACACATTAAATAGTGATTTATTGCAATTTAATTCCTCCTATAATAATATTAGATGTACATCCAATGTATTTCCACAGTCAAAATAATCATATCTAGATGCCAAGATTCCATTTGCTGTGATGATTTAGCCTTATGGATAATCAGTATAAGATGGATTTGTTTCAGTCAATAATGGAGGCTACCCTATTATAAGATGCTAAAAATGCAGGGCTTATTTGAATCCTTTCATGAAAATCTTAGATGGTTTTGATCATTTTAAATGCAACCTGTGTGGATTGATTACTCAAATTGGATTAAATTCAATGCCAAAGGAAAATGTAAATTAAAGAACTGAATTAACTATGGGATCTTATGACATCAAAGCAGGTTAAGAGTATTAAGCAAGACCTCCAATGGCTCCTGCGTATTTTTTCATGATTGATGTTTCAACAAAGAGTGAAGCACTTTTAGGAATAATTGGATAAGTGATGAATGAGTTAATAATAAGTGAATCATTCAATGAAAGAACTTTATTCGGATTTTTAACATTTGATACTTCTATTCAATTGTACAATTTCAATTCAAAACTGAAATAAACCCAGATGTATGTCTTAACAGATGATAATGAATTGCCTATGCCTGGAGAATATCTATTTAATCTACAAGACTCTAAGGACATTATTGTTGGATTCTTGAATTCTTTAGGTCAACTATTTCCGAAACCTCTTTTAAGGAGTACATAATTTATTGAGGCATTAAAGATATCATAAAAATTAATAAAGGAGAATGGTGCCAAGTTAATCATCTTAACATCTTCACCAATTAAAGAATTGAGTATTGTGGAGAATGGGAAATAACAGCAGTTATATTTAAATAAAAGTAAATCAGTATTAACATAAATTACTGAGAGTATGTATTTTCAATTTATATGTCCATCCATATTTGTAATTCCAAATAATTACATGAACATATATACTATCAATCAATTGGCAACCTATCTAAATGGAGATGTGTTCTATTATGATGATCCCACAGTTTATAGTAAGAAGTTGTTATTAATGTTTAAGCAACTAAATTTAGGAATGACTTAAAAGAAGTGTTGAGCAGAGATTATGCCTGGGAATCTGTATTTAGAATCAGAACATCTGCTGGATGGAAGATTAAACATGTGTATGGCAATTACGTTGTGAAATCCTCAGATCTATTGAATATTACAAATTGCGATGAGTAAATATTCCTTATCATAATTCATAGTTAAAAAGTTCTAATTTATGAATTAGAATTGACTGAACCCAATCTGTCTTATGATCATCTCTATATATAAACTGCTTTATTGTATACATCATCAAAAAGCGAGAGAAGAATTAGAGTTCACAATTATTGTATTCCTCTGAGCAATTCTGTCAAAATCATATACTCGCATATAGATCAAAGTGCATTGGCAATGACCATCTATAAAATGGCTTTGCATTAAATGAATTCAGTTAAGAATTTGATTCCTGTTAAAGAATTCATCACATCAACCATTAGATCTATCTTTTATAATTGTAAGTTATACAATGTAAGTTTGGATTAAATGCATGCTTACTCCTTAGGCATCATGAAATCTATGGTATTGAATTACTCTTATGAATAATAAAGTATAATGACAGATTATGTCAACTACTTTAGAATTATATTTCAGTATATTCACTTTGATGAATTAGTTACCTATTTAGTACCATAATTATACGATGTGACTAATTTACATGAAAATGAATGTGTTTATGATGATTAGGGATAGTTTGTGTACCCACAATAATTATCCTTAGTGTCGTCTGAGTTAGCAACGGGAGGTCTTTATCTGATGGATTGTGGATTCTGTTTAATATTATATATATGCAAGTATTTGAATCTGTAATTAGAGAATACATGATCCCACATAATTAGTAGCCTTATTCGGTGAGAAATACCATTCTAAACCCTTATATGAGGATGACCTATAATTAAACAATGCAATCTCTGCTCTGATCTCCCAATTGAGATAGTATGAATAACTTTATTATATCTAGCAACAAATACACAAAGTATGCCCCCATTGTACATAGTCAAATAAGGTTGCAACAGTTTATGGGAGGATGTATTTCTCAAAAATCTAATTTATGATGATTTAAATCCTTTATATAGGATGGACTACGATAGATTTGTATAATATATTGGTTGATGATATAATTGTATATATATAATATAAATACAGTATAGCATATAATTATAAAATTTAAATAATATAATATGAATTCATCCCAATATGGTGCTTTTGGTATGAGTGGTAATAATTTCAATTAAGGAAAACCACCTGTCAATAATTACAACTTCGAAAATGTTAGAGTAATTCATCATCCTTATGACATTAGGCATAACAACCTGCACCTGGTGGACCATAACCTTCCAGAGGAAAACCTATTGGAACAGCAGCTAGATAACCTCAAGCAGAAGCTAGACCTATGACTTCTAATAGAGGAGCTAATTTTGGATAGAAGAAGGACCCTTTCAATTCCACCCAGAATCAATTAAATTTGAATAAACCAAAACTTGAAACTAATCCTGAAGAATAATTTAAATCAATAGAAAAAGAGATTAATAATCTCATAGAACAGAGTGCCATGGCTAAATTGAGGGGAAATTTATCTGAATGTTTAGAAAAAGCCAAAGAAGCATTCAATAAGGAGAAAAAGTTAAGACAATCCAAGGAAGCATAAAATTTAGCTGAATCAATCAATACTGATCTCAGCTATTGTGCAGCCCTAACCTAAGCATGTGCTTTACATGCAAATGGATTACATTAAGATGCTCTAACCAAATATCAAGAAATTATAAAATGTAAATAATACCCTCAAGCAGGAAGATTAAGAGTTAATATGGGCAACATCTATTTTGAATAAAAGAAGTATTCCTACTGCAATCAAAATGTATAAAATGGCGTTAGATTTAATACCTGCTACTTCTAAAGAGATGAGATTCAAAGTATAAAAAAACATAGGCCAAGCTTAAGTACGAATTGGCAAAGACAAAATTAACGAGGCTATCACAACATATGAATAAATCCTTAAGAGTTCTCCTGATTTCCCAACAGGCTTTAATCTGATGATTTGTTTATATTTAAGTGGAAATAAGACTAAAATGAAGGATTATTTTGTTACCTTACTCACAATTGAAATACCAGGAGAGAATGAAGAAGAGAATAATGAAAATAAGGGTACCACTATTACAGATAAATTAAGAGAAGATACTAAGGAAAGAAGAAGGGAAGCCATTTATTACATAGTTACATCAGCTAAATTGATTGCTCCATTGATTGAGGATGATATCATTATTTGGATACGAATGGATTTTAGAGTAGTTAAAGAATTCAACATTTCCCAGAAGCTGAAACTGAAATTGAAATTTGTAAAGCTATGGCATTTTTGAAAAAGAAGAACATTGAAAAATCTATTGAAACTTTGAAAGGATTTGAAAAGAAGGATAAATAGATTATGGCAAGAATAGCAACAAATATTTCATTTTTGTATTTCTTAGAAAATGATTACAAATAAGCTGAGAAATATGCTGAAATTGCCATCACATATGATAGATACAATGCCAAAGCTCTAGTCAATAGAGGTAATTGTCTTTATGTTAAAAATGAATTCTTAAGAGCCAAAGAATAGTACTTAGAAGCAATTGGGGTAGAGGCTGATTGTATTGAAGCACTCTACAATTTAGCATATGTCAATAGAAAATTGAATATGTTTGTGGAATCACTATAAGCATTAGATAAACTCTAAACTATTGTTTGTATTCCTGAAGTTCTGTATCAGATGGCTACATTATATGAAATGACAGGCAATTCGAAATAAGCCATGAAATGGTATTTGGAAGTGATGAATAAAGTACCAAATGATCCCAATATCTTGGCTAGACTGGGATCCTTATTTGCAAGAGTATGAATGTCAATTAAAAGTTTATTAGGAAGATGACGAACCTTAAGCCTTACATTATTTCTAAGAATCATATAGAATCTTACCTACTAACATCGAAACCATCTCATGGTTGGGAGTGTATTATGTGAAATAGGAAATGTATGAAAAGGCTAGTTTATACTTTGAGAGAGCAGCATAAGTTTAGTCAAGAGATGTGAAATGGAAATTGATGGTTGCAAGTTGTTATCGAAGGATGGGGCATTTCTAAAAGGCCTTGGGAAATTACCAAAAGATATATTCAGATTATCCGGATAATATCGAATGTATAAATTTGTATTTATTTATTCAGGTCTCAGATTTTTAGTTTAATTATGTAGAGAAATGGGATAACCATACGAGGAATATGCTGGATAATTGAGAAAGCTAGAGAGGGAAATGGAAATGATGGATGGATATCAAGGACAAGACATCAATTTAATCAATAATGAAGAGGAATAGGTTAGATTGCCTTAAGGAGATGATAATCCTGTTAGTTTTACTAATAATACTAGGTATTTTTGATCATAATATTATAATAGACGTGGGAATAAACAACCACCTCCTAAAACGAATGTTCGACAAAATATTGATGATGAGTAATTCTAGGATGGGGTAGAAGATAACTTTTTACCTTGAAATGATATAAAATATAAATATATAAATTATGAATATTTCATAATAATATGAGGAATAATAAAATTCAGAGAGAATTGACACTTAATTTCAAAAATAGAGTCAGAATCTATTCAAAAGATAATTCTCTTAAAATTAACTCAATAACACTTGGAAACTTAATGGATTCAATATCATTATTATCGTTCTAAAATTTATTTAAGCGATTACGAAATAAACGTTTACTACTTCCTTTAAATTACTGAATCGTCAATTTTTCAAATTGCTTAAGGATAACACTTCAGATTACAATTATTATTTACATAGAGGCTATTTTAAACAAGTCAAAGCATAATCGTTTTTGATTAAATTTGACCAAAAAGTTAACTTCTTGCAATGTAATAACTTTTATTAAAATAGATTACAGAAGGAATTATCTAAAGAGAATCATGTAGTTTATATTGTTAGAACCTGATGACACAATAATTATAATTTGGAATATATATCTATTGTGTGTAGTCACAATTAATGTATTTTATGTTTCGTTGCGATTATCATTTGTGGAAATTGTTGAAATGGATTGGGTTCTAAAGGATTTCATTTTTGAATAACTGCCCAGCTATTCATTCTTATTAGAAATCATCATTAAGTTTAATACCTGTATTTATAGTAAAGGAGTACTGATCAAAAATAGGAAGAGATTAATAAAGAGATACCTAAAAAGAGAGTTTCTAATTGATTTGGTACTAATCATACCATTTTTTATTGGAAGACAATTCTCTTTTATATACTTAGACCTCGTTATAATCTTGAAAGTATTCCAAATATCAAAATTAACTAACTCTTTATTCAATCGTTTGGAATTGACATAAGAACAAACAACTGTTTTCGAATTAATTAAACTGATGTAATATAACATTAATATTAGAGCTTTTTTATACTATTGTGTGCTCATTTCTCAGCTTGCATCTGGCATAAATTAGGAGTTTGGGGAGATTGGGGAGATAAAAATACAGTAACTTGGTTGATAAAAGAATAACTATACAATTCAATGTGGGTTGATAGATATGTAGTTTCATTTTATTGGAGTATCGTTACTATGACAACTATTGGTTATGGTGATATCATTCCAGTAAATTTAACTGAAAGACTATTCTGTATAATAATGACTTTGATATCAACGGCAACCTTCGCTTATTCAGTCAATAGTATAGGATAAATATTTTAGGATATGTCTAAATAATCTGTGTAATTTAAAACAAACATGAATAGTTTAAATAAATTCTTGAAAAATCAGAAAGTATCAGCTTCATTGCAAACCAAGTTCAGACGATATTTTGAATATTTTTGGAGCAAACCTTCATAAGAAGTAATTCAATTTCAAGAATAAATTCCATAATAATTAAAAGATCAAATGATTGTGGATATAAATATTAAATTACTAAAATAATTAGATTTATTTAAGTAATTTAGTAATTCTTTATTGAATACACTTTGTCTAAAATTCAAAGAAATCTAATTATAACCAGATGAATATCTATTTAAATCCAATTAGAGAGCAGAGAAGCTCTACATATTAGTTAATGGAAAAATCGATTTGCGTGTGATTGTTAATAAAAAAAAAAGAATCCTCGAAAAATTAAAGACTCCCTGTTTGGTTGGTCAACTCAATTTTATTCTCAATACAGAATACAAATATGAGGCAATTGCCACTAAAAATACAAAGGTATTAGCCATTGATAGAGAACATTTGATTGAAAATATCAAATAGAATTAAATTGATTATGTATGATATTCTTTATATCAAAGGAAACCTTTAAAAACTTTGAAGAGGATATTAGAATACAAAAATAATACGGCAAAATTTCAATTACATGTTCAATTTGTAAAAAATCAAAACATTTTGTCCTTGATTGTCCACTTCTTTTTGGAGGTATAAGCAGAACGAAAGTATTATATCAACTGAGACATAATCTACCTTAATATAGAAATTTTACTTTAAGGAATAATGAAGATAGAAGAATATCTACAAAGAAACATCACTTCCTTGTTATGGAAAGTGTAATATAATATATAATAAAAAATGAAGAGATCTGCAATCTTGAGGGAATTAAAGAATGTAAATATTATATACAACCTAGAATTGCAAGTAGCCATTAAATAATAATAACAATATGATGAAAAAATATCTAATAATCTATCAAACTAATTCACTAAGTAGATACCAAATATACCAACTTCAGTAAATTGTATATCTCATGAATCTCTTCGCAATATTCAGAATCATAATACTGTTTAAGATCATGGTCTTACATAGAATCAAGAATGGCCTACAGAAGAAGTTAGTTAAGTTGGAATTTTGAGTAAATCATAAGACTATAGATTATTGAGGAGAGAACGATGCTTACAGGTTTTTGAGTTTGCGTACACTAC